GTAAGAAGTCAGAGTACCCCGCCACTTGTTCACACAGTCTGCTGAGGTTCTTTAGGGCAAGCCAGGTCAGAAGAACCTGCAACTGAGACTTCCGAGATATAAGAGGAACACCTTCAGGATCTTGGAAAGCTCTTGCTCTCTCACAAAGGGCAATTTTCCTCCTTCCTTTTCCCTCTGTCTCTACCAGCCAGCATAGGCAATTCCATTCAGGAGTGTCTCTTAGGAAAACGGTTCTCTCTCTAAAAGGGTAGATTCCCCCTTCCCTTTCCCTCTCTCTCTCTCCACCAGCAAATATAGGGGAAGCCAACATATTCACCTGGCTGTATCCTTAAATACTGGGAGTGCTTCAATCCTGCTAATCTGAAAAAAGACGACTAACTCATATGGGCAGTAACACTTTCTCAGGGGAAGATGACTTTTATTCCTATAACAGATTTCTATTTTGAGCCTGTATGTTGCATGTAACATGTCTTTATGTTACACTTGAAAGCCTTTTTTGGAGAAACCATGTGGTTACAGGGAATGTTGCCACCATGATGAAGCCACCACATGTCCAGCATCATTTTGCCATCCCTAGGGATGAAACTCATGGGTTTCATCTTGTCATCCTCTAGAAAAATTATAACTAGTTTGTGATTAAAATTTTCCAAATTAATATAGTTTTAATATATTAATCTCTTAAGGATTGGACAAAAATAGGGTATTTGTGTTAAAGATCTGTTACTAACAACTTAAAAGGCTAGCTGACTAACCTACTAAAAATAATGACGAAGAAATGATTTAAGACTGCCCTCTGAATTAATGCAATTGTGTGTATCATTGTGTGTTTTACAAAGTTAATGTTTAAAACTGTCTCAAAAGTTATCTAATGTTCTAATCCCAACCAAGCCTAACTATCTTCTGCCTTAAAATAAAAGAAAATTTATGGACAGTAATCTCAATCTTTTCAATACATTTCATTATAATAAGTTCTTTTATAATTAGCTTTATTAACCAATGTATTCTTATAGATTACTATTATAAATAACATAGTTTAACTTCCTTACCTAAGTCTTTAAAAGATATGAGGTTGCTAAGACTTTTATTTAAAACAGTATTATCTAAATTCAGGTTTTTACAGAGGTTGTTTCAAGACACAAATTAAGGTCCTAAAGCCTATAACTTTATATATATATACATATATAGTATATATGTATATATATATTTGTGTGTGTGTGTGTGTGTGTGTGTGTGTGATTGGGTTGACTACAGTTTAAAGTATGTCTAGAGTTTTCTGAGATCAAAATTTAGGGTATTAATGTATAACTAAAAATAGGTTTCTGTTTTATAAAAATAACTGTCAGGGACTTTTGGTGCTATAGGCTGACACAAAATTTTACCAAAACCAAACAAAAGTTCACCCTCCAGATAGGATGATAAAACCTTAAGTTTTTATTGAGGTCTACACTAAAAGGTGATTAATCCAAGAATACTAAATTATGTGTGTCAGTAACTCTCAATGACTGAGCCTGTTACTTTTGAATCCAGGTGCTGCAGGTCAACAACAACCCTGCTGTGTGTCCTAAGCCACTCAGTTAACAGCAGTCTAGGATGTGATTTCTTATCAATATCCAAGCCATGACACTCGGTCATTGGGTTTCCTAACTTTATGTTTACTCCCTCAACTCTGTTTCTGTATGTAATCATTTGAGACATTAACCCTGTTGGTTTATTATCTTTTTACAAAACGCACATGTTCTCCCATTATTCTCAGTATATAAGCTGATTACAACCCCATGTGTGCACATGCTGCAGGCTCTTCCTTCACAGCCAAAATCCTGAGCTTTCTGCCCACATCTTCTCACTGCAGTGACCAAAGGACCCAAATTAAAGGGAAAACTGACCACCAGCTATGGGTTTGTATCAGTCAAGCTTACCTTGGTGTGATTTAGATTTAGTAGTTAATGCTGTACTGGTTACAAAGTTCATATTAAGATGTTTCCCTTTTAACACTCAACAGATTGTCTTCCTTTATATTGTTATCTTTTCATTTTACATGTTGTTTTTGGTATCAGCCTCTTTGCCCAGTATATGACAGTTCTGAAGTTTTATTGTTCATTAGTAAACATATTTTAAAAGTTTTTTTAAAAACTCATGAAACTCAATTCTCTACATGGCCCATTTGAAATTATTTACCATTCTTTGCATCCTGCCTAAATTTGCCTCCTGCCAGAGGCAAAAACCCTAAGGTATTTTTCTGGTAACACTGAGGAAGCTAAGTTTAAACTAAGTAAAAAGGCTTTTAAATGGTTCTAATACTGCTACTGTCTTGTACATGTATCTAAATGTTGTAAATCATTTATAGAGTTAAAAGTGTATGCATATAAACAGCTATAGTTCTTTTACCTAAGGCACATTCTATCTAATAAGGTCTTTGACATTTCTGCTCTTAATGACAAATGGTAAAAGTTCTGCCATTTAGGCCTGATATCTGTTTGTCAGGTAAACACTGGTTTGTATGACATTGGCTAATAAACACTGTTATATATATATATGCAAATAAGCATCAAAACAGGGGTATTTGGGATTACTGACACTTCCTTCCCCTAACAGTTGGAAAATTTAGAGTTTTTAATTATCAGTACTGTCAAAGTAACTACTAACTTGTTACTTTACCTAACCAAAATTCAAGGTTTAAACTGTGATACTGCTACTGGCTCCTTTATATATTAAGTGTCTCTGTGTTCAAGTACATAAGCCTTCTAAAATAGAATTATAAAAAAGCACTGTATGTTAGCTTCTTTCACAAGTTTGTGCATATGTTCCCAACTAAATAAGAGAGGTTTAGTAATACTATACTGTTGTATTAATTGCTAAACTGTTAACCATAGTTACTTTAAGTTTTGTCATTACAGTTCTAATCCTACTGGGACATTTACAGACAAGCCCATGGAAAATGATTCTGTTAAGTGCTTATCTGTCAACCAGAACAGACATTCTTAAGTATTGGGGTTGTTTGTATTTTCTTTGTAAAACTTTGTAACTGTTGTCTGCTGACACTTTGCAACAATTTAAAGGTGTTAGCGCATCCCCTACAGGACAATTAGATTTAATTAAACCCAGCCTAAGAGCCATTTTTAAATAAATCTCTTTTGTTGCTTAATTTGGCCAGAAAGGTTACATTGGCACTAACTTATGAACTGTTTGAAGTGTTATTCCTCCTCCTCCATGGGACAAATCTGACCTTCTAGGAGAGGCTATTCCTGACTCAGGGGGACAAAACTGACAAATTGGCAAAATCTTCAAATATAACAGTTCAGAGAAACCCCCAAGCAGTCGGCACCCCCCAGCTTCTTAGAGGAACAAGTGGCATTCAGCCACCCAAGACAGTTCAAAAGGACTGCATAAATGAGGGGACTTCTCTAGATCTAGATGGAGTCTATTAACCAGACCTCTAAAAATAACCAAAGCCAAGGGATTTTAAAAAGGGGCTCTTACACATGTGCTCTAATATTTAAGCCTCCTAGGCTTCTGGAAAAGGACAAACATGTCTTTGGTGAAGGCCTTCTGTCAAAGCTTCAAAGGCAGTATAACTTTCAATGGTATCTAACTTCTTAGGGATACTTTTCTCTATACAGAACTGACTCTTATTGATGTTTACCCTCTAATTGGACTAGCACTACTTCCTAGTACACCAGGCCCCCAATGTAGATATTACCCTAAACAATCACTCCTTAACTGCCCACTACTGTGGCTGACTATAAACAGAATGCCATCTCAGGGTTAAAAATAGCTACAGGTATAAACACCTATAGGAAAAGTAACCATAAGACTCAGTCACTTTTCAAAATGAAAAGTTAGATTCTTTATCCTTCCTGCTACACATAGTAGGGTCCCCTTCTGGTGTTCCTATCTTCATTAATGTTCAGGTTATGCCTTCTAAACCAGATTTATCACTTCTAAGATAAAAGCCTTTAGGACCCAAATCATGAAGCAACAGGGCTATCAATCTCTGAGATGAAAGAGATCACCATGAGCAACCCAGCTCTCTAGAGGAACCTTAAGTGTACTGGCCAATAATTCAGACACCTTGTATCCAAAGGAACCTCAAGAGAAAGAAGAAGGAGAGACAATTTCCCCTTGTAGGTAGGGATTGCTGACCTTGTCAGCTCAAAGCAGATACAGAAGAAAAGCAAACTTGAGCGCCTCAGCAACCTCAAAAAAGATTTTTTTCAGGATCTTATCTCTCAAGAGGGAATTTGAGGCAGGCTAAAATTAGGGAAAGTTTGAGACTCATAGAAACTTAAGATTGCATTTCAGATTGACCATACTCTAGCTCAGGAAACACCCTCACCTGGCCCAGGAACTGTACATGCCCCTCCCCACTCACTGATTATTGGATGGGAATCACCTGATTCTTCTCTCTCCATAGGTTAGACTGGGTTTTTAAAGCATCTAGAGAAGAGAAGCATGCTCTCTCAGCCTCCAGACTCCACCTGGGCCCTACCATGCTCCCCTCTGTATTTTCCTTCCCTAACTTTTAATAAACTCCATTTATACCCATGTGGGACACAAAGAATTTGTAAGTCTTCTGATCACAGACTTCACTGCCACCACCAACAATATTGATACCAATAAATTCTACCAAATATCAATTTTAAAGCAAATTACTAAACAAAGCTAACAAAATGAGGGGAAAGACTAAGAATTCTACAAACCTCAGCTTTCCACAGGAAAAGCATTTTGTTTCCTGTGGGTAGAATGTAGATAGAAATATCTCAGCTGACTTTAACTGGTAACAATTTTAACAAGATCCCCAAATAATTCATATTTTTATAGGCCATGAAATACTGTAATGTCTTTGCAATGATATACATTGCTAGATATACATATATAATATGTATATCTAGTACATTAGGTACTAGATTAAACACAAATTTATAGAACAGTAAGTACAGAAATAGTCTGGCATTTATAACCATGAGTATATAATAAATTCCTAATATAAAAACAGAACTTACCTTAAATAGAGTTACAGTGATTTCAATGTTTTCAGGAACAGGCCAAACAACAACACCACGGTATGGATTTTTTATTCCGGGTTGCCAACTATGAGCCTACCAGAATGAAAATGATAGCTTCAATTATGAAGTCTAGGAAATGCAATGTTAATCATTTACGAAAGTATATTGACCTTATTTACCTATCCATTAGATCTGTAGTCACCCTGAAACAAAAATGATCAGTCAAATAAAACTTTCTAATCGAGGGAGAAATGACCCAAACATTGTATGCACATATGAATAAAAGAAAAAAAAAAACAACTTTCTAATCATTAAGTTTGGGCCATGACACTTATATCACATGAAAGTTCTATCACATCAATAAACTAACCTTTACTCACCCATAAATATAAACAAAAAAAGATGCAAAAATGAAATATTTTATGTTTTCAAAAATGACTATCTCTGATTAGATAAAACTTTCATTAGTAAAAATATTTTCAATTATTTTTGTGACTGAGAACTTTTAGGCTCGTTCATTCTTTTTTTTTATTTATTTTATTTATTTATTTTTTTTTTTTTGAGAAAGGATCTTACTATGTAGCCCAAGATGGTCTCAAACTTTTGATCCTCCACCCTCTGCCTCCAGTATGCTAGAATTATAGGCATGCACCACCATGTCCAGCTAAATTCATTCTTTCAAGGAAAACACGAGCCAAGCACAATGTGTTTGTGGAGCACCAGCTAACTGGGAGTCTGAGAGGAAGAATCACTTGGAATATATGGTCTCAAATAAAACCATAGCAAAAAAAGTGGGGGGGGGAAGAGGGGAAAAGGAGGAGAGGGAGAGGAAGGAGGGAGGGAGAAAAGAGAAAAGAAGGAAAGGAAGAAAGAAGGGAGGGAAGGACATGAAAGCAATGCTAGGAATCTCTCTGTATAGCTCCCCTTATCTCAATTAGCAAAAATGCTATGTCTTTCTTATTATTGCTTATTTCTACTCTTCAACAGAACTGGAGAAAAGCGCAGAACAGGTTCTGCCTGGAAGCGAGGCAGGGGCGGGAGGTGGGGGGCAGGGAGGAGAAACAACCCAAACAATGTATACACATGTGAATAAATGAATTAAAAAGAAAAAAAGAAGGGACGGAAAGAATAGATGGAGGAAAAGAAGGGGGAGGGAGAGGAAGCAAGGAAAGGAGAGAGAGGAGAGAAGGAAGTAACATACTAGGACAAAGTGGTCACTTGCTATTCTAACAGGAATGAGGTGGAATCTTAGTGTGGTTTTGATTTGCATTTCCTTCTAAAACAAACGCAGTAGTATGGACATGGGTCACACACTAAGGGGAGAACACGCACGGTTAGAATAGAGAAAGGGAAGGAAACCTAAAACTTGACATGGTCACTGTAGAGGAGCGAATATAGTAATCTTAAACTGGCAGAGACCACTATGGGAAGGGGATTAGGAAGTAGTGAAGAGGTCTGGTAGAGATGAACCAATGTGGGTTGTAATACACATATGTACAGAAGCAATGCTAGGAATCTCTCTATATAGCTATCTTTATCTTAAACTAGCAAAAACTCTTTGTCTTTCGTATTATCTCTTATGTTTTCTCTTCAACAAAATCAGAGAACAAGAGGGCTGAACAGGTTCTGCCAGGAAGTGGGGGGGAGGGGGTGTCAAACAATGTATATGCATGTGAGTAAATATAAAAACAATAAAATAAAAAAATTAAAATTAAAAAAATCCAGTGGTGGAATTCATAATTTGATAGCATTATTGGGAGGTTGTGGAAACTAGGTGGGGCTTATTGGAAGAAGTAGGTCTTTGGAAGTATGCCATTGAAAGGCATACTTTGTCCCTGGTTCCCTCTCATTTTCTCTCTACTTCTTGGCCACCACAAAGTGAGGAGCTTCTGTCATGATGCTCTGCCTCACTTGCACCCAAAACCAATAAAGCTGGCTGACTATGGGCTGAAACCTCTGAAATTCTGAGTCAAAATAAATACTTTCTCCCTTAAAAAAAAAAAAATTACTATGTTAAATTCATTTAATCTAGATAAGAATCCTATGAGGAAGTTACCATTCATTCATTCACTCATTTACGCAATTGATATTACTTACCAAGAATGATTCTAGGCACTGGAGTAGAGAAAAATGATACGCCTTAGTGAAGTTTTAATAAGTAGGAAGAGATGAACAGAGAAAATAAGTAAAATATGTAGTATGTTAGGTGGACGTTAAGTGTTGTGGAGAAAAATAAAATAGGGTAAGGATGGAGCAGAGGCAGAGAAAGTAGTATTTTTCAACAAGTAAGTCAAAGAAGGCATCATGTAAAAACATGACAAGAGCTTTCTAAGAAGGAACAGCATTTGGTGCTGAGGCACTTAGACAACAACAAGGGGAATGTGGCTGGAGCAGAGTGATAAAGAGGAGAGTAGCAGGAGATGAGGAGTAGCAGAGAAATAATGAAAGGTCCAATTATATAGGATCCTGGTAAGCCATGGCAAAGATACTGGCCTTTACTTTGCATGAGACAAGAAGTCACTGGAAGGTTTTAAGCAGAGGAATGATGGCCTATGTTTCAACAAACTCACTTCAACTAATGTGTCCAGAAAAGGGGACAATGTGTCCAAATATAAGAAAGGAAACAGCTATGACCAATTAAGAAGCTGCTACAATAATCCACAGAGTTGATGGTGACTTGGCTTGGGATGATAGAAAAGTGGTACAAAGTCAGATTCTAGGTATATTTTTACATTTTCTAGATAAAGTCAACAAGATTTCTTATTTTTATTTAAGAGAAAAAGCAAGCATCCAAGGCTAATTCTAAAGCTTTTGCCCTTGAGAACTAGAATAAAGATACTGTTATGTATATGAGGCAAGACTGTAGGAGGGATAGGTTTGGAAAATAAGTTCAAGAGCTTAGTTTTATATACATTAAATCTCAGTTGCCTATTAGATATACAAGTGTGGATATTCAAACAGGCAGCTAGCAGCAGACATGTATTTGAAATTATAAACTTGGGAACTGTCAGTATAGAGGTGATAATTAAAGGTTAAGAATGGATATGATTCCAAGGGAGTGAGAACAGATAAAGAATATGAAATTCCAAGGACTAAAGCATGGAGCACAACATGAAATATTTGAGGAAATAAGGAAGAATCAGCAAAGGTATGTCAGGAAAACCAGGAGCATGTGGTATCCAAGAAGTGTGGCAAAGAAAATATTTTTAAAAGAGCAACTGAGGCCAATAGTAGAAGGGGACCAGGAACTACAGAAAAGGTTAGATCAAGAAGAATTAACTTAGAAGGTAACACACATGCACAGGAAATCAATGTGAGTCAACTTCCTGTATAGCTATCCTTATCTCAACTAGCAAAAACCCTTGGTCCTTCCTATTATTGCTTATACTCTCTCTTCAACAAAATTAGAGATAAGGGCAAAATAGTTTCTGCCGGGTAGCTAGGGGGTGGGGGTGGGAGGGAGGGGGTGGGGGAAAGAGGGAGAAATGACCCAAACATTGTATGCACATATGAATAAAATAAAAATTAAAAAAAAAAAAAGAGAGAAAGGGAACAATCACCTATGCCAATGTTCGTGATGGGTCAAATACGGTAAGGCCTGAAAATGACCATGGACTTTAACAATGCAGAGACATTAATAACTACACAACAACAACTTCAATGGAGTGGTAAAATCAGAGACCCGATTGAAATGGATTCAAGAAAGAATAGGAGGAAAGAAATTGAAAACAGAAAATACACTCAACTCCTCTGAGGTGTTTTTGTTGAAAAGGAAACTAAGAAAAAAAATTAATGCTAAGTATGTGAAATAGTATCCAAAGATCTTTTTTTTTAAAAAAAGAGAAAAATATGCTAGTGGAAACATTCAGTTGAGAAGCAAATATTAATGATACAGAAGAGAAAAGGAAGAATTGCTAAAGTATTGTCCTAAATAGTACACAATATGACAACTTGGTCTTTTTTGGAAGCACAGACCACTTTTTCATAATAAAAAGAAGTTACAGTACATGAGTGCAGATGCACATCAGTGAACAGACATAACCAATGAGGAAAATGCAGAACAAACTTGCCCAAAATTTGTCCAAGATCACATAGCAAGTAAGCAGGCAAAATCTGAATTTGATCCAGGCACTGGTAGCTCAAGCCTGTAATCCTAGCTACTTGGGAGGCTAAGATTAAGAGGATTACAGTTTGAGGCCAGCAGGGGCAAATACTTTGTGAGATCCCATCTCCAAAGTAAACAGAGCAAAATGAACTGAAGGTGTGGCTCAAGCAGTAGAGCACCTGATTTGTAACTATGAAGCCCTGCGTTCAAACTCCAGTTCAGCTAAATAAATAAATAAATAAATAAAAGGGGATTTGAACCCAGATCATGGGAATGAGAGGGGCTTGAGATCATGGAAACTTAGTTGCCCTGTTAGCTGAAATACCAGCAAACAACACAGGCTTAACAGTATACTGCAAATTCAACTCATGGACTGTTAACAATTGTTCATTTATTCTTTCTCCATTTCCCTCCCATCACAAAAACTGAATTAAGAAGAGAGAAGTAGAGACTCAGCACATACTCAAAGATAAACAACTGAATTTTTTTTATTAAAAAACATCTCCAGAAGTCCCTCCATCCCCCATTTCCGTGCCTATTGGTCCTAGAACAAAAACCATGCAAAAGAAACAATCTCCATTTTGAAAAGTACATTTCTGTCCATCTTAAATAATCCTTAATCAAGACTCCAATCTACATACTTAAATCTGAAAACTTATAACAACACAATTCTCATGTACTTATATGGTAAACCAAGCTATTTCTCTGGTCTCTTCAAACATATCATATTTTTCATAGCCTCTCCATGCAAGAGAAGCATAAAACATGTAAGGACTGAATCTTTCATTAGCTATAGCAGATAAGATAGAACATCTGTAAAATTCTCAAGTAAAAAATGGCCAAAGAATTTTAGATACAACAATATCCTTTGGAAATCTAATCTAGTCCCAGATAAGGAAACTGAAGCAAGCAAAGAGTAAATGGCTTGCCTGAAGTAAAATTAGTAATCAGCAGAACCCCAACTCCACAATTCAGAATTCTTCACTCA